GAGGCTGTGCAGAGCCCAAGCACCCTGGGGTCTATGCCAGAGTTGCTGAGCTTTTGGACTGGATCCATGACATGGTGCGGGTGAGTGTGGGGGGCCAGGGTGGGGAGGGGAGGTTTGTAAAGGACCTGTCCCTCAGAAACTGTGACCCTTACCCCTTAGGCCTGGGCCTGGCTGGGGTGGGGGAGGGGCAAAGGAATGCTCCCCAGAGTAAGAGGAAAAGGAAATGATGCAGAGAACGCCAAATCCACTGGATTTCTACCCACGTAAGCACTGGCTGGGGAAAAGCCGACCTGAGTGTGTATTATAGCCCCGATCTGCCATTGACTGGGTGACCTTTGGCAAGTTCCTAACTTGGTAACCCTCCGTTGCCGGGTAATAGCCACCATGGCGCTCTTGCATGCTAGCGTGAGGATTAAATATGGCCAGAGCTGTACACGGCCTGCGGAGTCCTAGGTTGGAGCGAGTGGGCCTGGGCTTCTCTATGGACGTATTGCTGACCACCACTCGCCCTGGTTTCTAAGGCAGTTACTAGTGCCTGCATTCCCCACGCTGGGGGCAGAGCTCAGCGTTTAGCAGTTTGGGTTTGGCAACCCATTCTTGTGTGACACTGGGCAAGTCACTCACCTCCATCTGTTCCGAGGGAGGGCCTAGTGAGATAATGTGTATAGCAACACGTTATTTGTATCCAGTACGTTATAAAGGCAGGGTGTGGCGCGGGAAAACTCTGCAGGTCGGGCATGGGGTGGGTGGTGGATAACAAGTTTGATGGATTACGGGGGACACGTGGACACGTGCCTCCAACTTCTCACTCAAACCTTACAAAAAGCCCAGAGAAGCGAGTATTGTTAGCCCACTTGATAGAAGTAGAAATGCAGGTTCTGAATGGTTAAGTGATTTATTAAAATAAAAGTTACTCCGCTAGTGGGGGGATCCAGCTCCCTTCTCTGTCAGCTCAGGACTCCCTCCCCCAGCCCTGCCCTTTCCTCCTCCTCACTGCAGAGCAGCCTCCTGTTTTGGCGTCTCTGGCAGGTCCACAGATGGAGGAGAAGCGGACCCTGGTGCAGAAGATATGAATACATGTATCCTATTACCGCACACGACACAGTGGCCACCCACTGGCCAGCCTCTGGGGGTAGGGCCTCTCCCCTTGGGCCCTGATTTCTAGACCCTCTATCTCACCAGAGAGCCCCAGCAACAAGAGGAAGGATGGTCAAGGTTGGGACCATGAAGGGAGCCGATGGATGTCGGGGAGGAGCTGGAGAGGAAGAGGCTACTGGAAGCAGCTGGAAGCTGCCTTCTGCCCTCTCCCCTCCCAGCCCCTGTGCCCATCACTTGGGAGGATGCTCAGGGATACCCGGGGCCTGCCTCCTCCCTGTGCTCTCAGGTGGGTGGTGGTGGGAGCAGTGCCTCCTTAGAGGAGCCCCTGGCCCTGGAGGCTCCTGGGGAGATGGGGTCAAGGCTGGACAGTCCAGATTAAGCCATGGAGTCAGGATCCTCCCCACTCTCCACGGTTGGTCTCACCTACTTCCTGTTCTTACCTGGCTCTGACTGGCCCTCCTGGGGCAGGGGTAGGAGTGGGGACACTGGAAGGACACTCTGGTTGGTGTTGGAATAGGGTGTTGGTTTTAAATGACAGTTCTGTGAACTGGTCCAAGGAGTTCTTTTATTAAAGGAACTCCTTTAATAAAAGGGTTGTATGGTCACCGTTCAGAGTCTCTCTCTCTCTCTCTCTCTCCTCTCTCTCTCTCATAGAATTACAATTTCCCTTTCATACATGTTTCTTAAAGCTCTGGAACTGACTCCTGCTCATCTCTCTAGGCTTTTGGCATGTACTTATTTAATTCTTTACATTTGTTAAATCTGCGTGCAGGATGCTACCCAGCCTCCTCGGTGCTGAGATGATGCAAGTCTGAGAAACACAAGTCACCGCTGTCTCAGGGAGTTCTGGCTTCCCCACAAGACCCATCTCTCCTTAGCTCTTAGCTCCTGTTCCGGAACCGAGCCTTGGGGCTCGGGGAGCTTTCCTTCTGCGGTGATGCTCAGCACTTTCCTGGTTAAGCTTCTCCGGGCTCTCCTCTGAGCAATTGAAATGCAATTGGCATCTTGTTTCTAAAAACTGCAATGGATTGTTCATGGTGCTTACCCAAGGAAGTGCAGTTAGCCTGTAGCAATAGCACAGCGTTTCCATGAGTTTATCAGCATGTTTAAAGGAGTAGTAGAAATGAATATTCACTCCTGGAGGGTCTGCTTCCGTGTTCTGGACCAGGGCCTCCTGCATTGTCTCTGGATCCAGGAGGGGCTGCAGGTCTGCCGGGAGCACCCACCACCCCCTGCGGCACAGCTTCAGGGCAGCCGATGCCCTGGGCGGGGAGGAGTCACCAGCAGGTTTCTGATGTCACCCGTGAGCATTTGCTTATGTAAAGGGAGGTTTTTGTTCATTGCAGTCATTATGACCTGTTAGTAATTAGTAACATTTGGATACTACTTCACAGTTTATCAATCCTGTTCACATGTGGCATCTCATTTAAACCTCACAACATCTGTGTGGTGAAGATGCTGTTATTGTGCCCGTTTTATAAGCAAGAAAATTGGTTCAGAAAGATTAAGTGACTTCCGAGGCCAGCCAGCTAGTAAGTGTCAGGGCCCAAATGTGACCTAGGTTTTTGACTCCAAATCCACATCACTGTTGGCACATGAATTAAGGAGAAGTGTACAATCGGAAGGAACCTGGCAAACTCACCTGCCTGCAGTGATACTTTCTCTAGGCGAGGTCATCAAAACCTGGCTCCTACCGGAGACCCTCAGGTCAAGTTCTTACCGAGCTCAAAGTTTATGAGCTGTGGTGGGGTTCCCCGCTCTGGCCCTGGGCAGCAGGTGCAGGCTGTGCAGGGGTCCCCGCTCTGGCCAACTCTCCCACCTGCTGGCCCGCAGCTGGAGGAAGTCCAGGGAGAGTGGAGACTCTCCCAGCCTGAGAGAGCACTCAGATTGTATGGTGTGAGTGTCCTCTAAGGAGGCACACTCACCAGTTCTCCATGAGATTCAGGGTCTGACTCAAATGTTACCAATGAGGGTCTTCACAGCAGGAGGATGAAGGGAACCTGCTGAGAGTTTGCGGACAGCGAGTCCCTGTTTGCCGATAGGAGCTCCTGCCAGCAGACCAGGCAGATGTGCAGACTCCGAGGCTCTGACCTGCCCTTCCTATTGGCACCTGCCTCTCCAGGCCTTAGGAAAGTGAGGAGGCGTGGGTGCATTCCAGGGCTGGCTGTGGGAGTGCAGGGGTGGAGATGGGGGCAAGGAAAGGTGGGAGATTCAGGTCCAGAAGGATTTGAATGAGGACCAGGTGGGTGCCCAGCTGTGTTAAGCTTGTAGGGAATGCAGAGGCAGAGAAGCCGCTGCTTTATTGGAGCAGAGACTTACTTGCCATGAACTATTAGTGGCCAGCCAGGCAGGAAGCTGCGGGGGGGTTGGTAAACGCTAAGCAAGTTCCAAGCGTCTCTTGTTGAGTAAGTCAGGGCCTCTCTGTGTGCGGGAGGCCTGTGGTCTCCGCCCGAGGACTCAGCATCTCACCGGCCTGGGCACACTGCCAGCCTCCCGAGGCTGTCCCTGGATGGCTCCTGGCTGCCCTGTCCGGGGAGAGCCCTTCTCTCTTCCATCGCTCGGTCCTGCTTTTCCTAGAAGGGCTGCTGCGAACAGGGGCAGCCCTGTCATCCCTCAGAACGTTCCTCAGGCTCTTTCCTGCATTTTGTTTTTGGAAGTGCTGGGCTCCCCCACAGTAGGACAAAACAGAAGACGGTTTTCCTCAGTCTTCCCATTGTTTTTCTCTCGCTTTTGCCCTCTCAAAAGAGAACCCACCTGCACCTCCTCCCACTCTCCCGCCTCCCTCAGCATCCTGGGTCCCTCCCAACCTCCCCACTCAGGCAGCCCAGAATACATCTGCATTAGCCGCACCCTCGGCCCCTGCTTCCTGCTAAACTGATTGCAGCCCATGGCGACTCTGTAAACTGCACCTCGACTCCCCCACCTCTGGGAAGGTGGGAAATAGCCTCCTACTCCTGAGGGTGAGGGTGGCTTTCTTACACATGCCAAGGCTGGGAGAGGGAGAGGCGGCACAGCTGGCACAGTGCCTGGAGGCCCCGGGAGAGCAGTCTGGGACCTGCTGGACGGTTTCACGTGAGTTGGTGCTGGAGAGACCGAGCTGGAGGCTCACAGGATGGAGAGCGGAGTCCTGGCTCCGGAGGGCGCAGGGGGCCCCCAGAGGGCAGGGGCTTCACAGGCTGGGCCCAGGCTCCTCAGCTTCCCCTGCCAAGGTCCCTCTGGCTGTGGCACCCCGCGGTGGAGAGTCTGGGGCTTTAACCACCCGCAAATGTGCTGCCCTGAGCTACTGATTCAGCCTTCCTGGAGTTTGGTCTTGCACCTGTCAAATGAGACGTCTGGGTCAGGTGACCTCCACGGGACCTGCCTTGTCAGGCCAGTGTAACTCAAACCTCTGGCACCTCTGAGACCTCGGCCGGCCCATAGCTTCCAGCTAGGACCCCTGGGGAGCAGAGCCTGTCCCCTGGGACAGGCCTGAAGGAGCAGGTGTGCTCCAGTTCAGGCCACACAGGATAACACTCCAGCTCTCCCCTCCAGGTCTGCCCTCCGGGTCCCTGGGAGCAGGAGCTCCACGCAACAGATGTTAAAGCCATTTGCCCCTGTGCCCTTCTGCCCAGTGTTTGTGCCCTGGCAAGGGTTTGAGCACAAGTCAAACCCTTGATCTGGCACGGCTCTCAACTGCTCCCTGGCTCCTTCAGCCTCAGCCTCCTTAAACCAATGAGGGAATTTCCTCCTCCCTCCTCGGAGACCAGGGCACTTTCATTCTGAGCCTTTTCCCTGGATAGTTCCCAGCTGGTCACAGAGCCCTCTGCCCACCAGCACTTCCCCACACATGAGGCGGAGCAGTGAGGGAAGTTTCGGCTTGCACAACTTCGCAGGCTTGGGTCCATCCCTCCTCTGTCCTGAGCCATGTGCCAGGCCTAGGGATGGAGGATCCTTCCCCACATTCCCTCAGTGCCTGCACCTTCTCCGTTTGATCAGGACTGTGCTGGTTTTAACACAGAAGGCCTAACAGGGTGTGCTGCAAATGGGTCTCCCAGAAGAAAGGACCTTGGGTTGGGCTGTCTGTCACTCATGGTCCTGACAATGGGAACCATGGAGAAATAGTTTTTATCATGGCCGAGCCTGGGATGGGCTAGGTGGGCCTGGGCTGGGGTTAGGACTTGGAAACTTTGAGCTGAAATGGACTTTGGCAGGGTCCAGTGCTAACTGTGCATGCATGCCCAAGGCTATACAAGCCATTTCTTGCTGCTATTTGTTCATATAAAAACATTTAAACCTGTAAAGAATTTTTGTGAGTTTATTTGAGCCAAACTGTCAACAATTGCTGGGAAACAGAATCTCAATAGATTGGGATAAAGCTCCAGAGAATGGCAGTTTTTTACTTTGTTTTATACATTACAATCAAAAGAGGAGATAAGTGGGTTACATGAAATCCATTGGTGATAGGTTAGGAAGGTGGGAGAAAGCAAAGTGGAGAAACCTCTGGGATTGGATAAAAAGTAAAATGATAGACTATATATTAGGTAGATCTGTTATGCCTCTCAATCTCTAATGCAGGACAGTGTCAAACATTGTTTCTGACTAATTAGGTTAGGCAAAGACTCAAAGCCACCAGAGACCGCCTCTGACTATCGTGTGAGAGGAATCCATCTTGTATTGCCCTCAGGCAATTGTACTCACATGTGGCAAAAGTTTTGTTTTTCAACAGAGTGAAAAACAGAGGCTAATTATTCTCAGTCTCTAAACACATTTCGTACCGCTCAGGAGTTTTCTTGTGTTTCGCACGCCATCTGTTAAGGACTGCTCACGAGTGTTCTTGTTTTTCACGCCCATGGAAAAAGGAGCGAATCTAGATACTTATGTAAATTTTGTTTGGTCCCTCTTCATAGAGGAAAATGTTTTATGCAGTACCATACGTTAAAAAAGTACTAGGAACTTTAATTGTTTAATTGTTTTTGTAAATAAAAATGTTATAATTATTGAAAAACAACACCTAAAGTGCATTATGATGATTTAAATAATGTGCAGTTTGCCCAAAAACGTGCGGTCCCTGGCGTATGTCTTAGAGATTTCTATGCGGTACGCAATGTGTTAATAGGCCTCAGCAACTCCGTATCTTAGGGTAAGTTGTTTTCCAATAGGGTGGGTCAACTGTCTTCTTCCCCAGGCAAGGCTGCCTGTATAGCAAATGTCTATGTGAGAAAAATGATTTCTGCAGTGTGAGGGAATGACTCAGCACACATGAAACTGGGGTGTCTGCCTTCTGAGCTCTAACCCCAGAGTCCCCAATCCTGGCTTCTGCTTGCACAGCTCCAGTCCACTCTGCCCTCCCTCTGCTGGAGCACAAGGTGGGTGGCCTACTGGGAATTTTGTGCATTGGCC